CCCCCCCCCCCCCCCCCCCGAACAACAAAAAAGAAAAAAGGGGGGGGGGGGGGCGGAATTAAGAAGAAATCCATGACAGACCCCCTCGGAAAAATCCCGTGCTTTCTGGAGGTCTCTGGTTCCAGCTGGTTCGCCACAACGTGAACCTCTGAGGCCGATGCTGCCACCTCCTCGGGTCTCTCCCCACCCCAGCTCTATGGGGAGGGTGGAAGGAGAGATGTTAACAGGAACCCAGATTTACCAAAGCAGAGAGGGAGGTGGGAGAGGGAGGAAGATGGAGGGAGAAATCAGAATATTAGGTCGCTATTTGCACCTATAATACAAAGTGAAGAAGAGTTTGTTTTTTTGGAAGTTAAGTCCCCGGCTGATCTAGTTCCACTGCCTTCGGGATGGTGGTAACGGGTGTCTGGTGGTGGTCTTGAAGCATTAAAAAGTGCAGTTAGAGGGAGCTCTCGGGAGGGTTTTGGTTCAGACGGGTTTCTCAGTGTGCCGTTATGGAGGTGAGGTGTGGTGGACGGGGATGGAGGTTATATCTTAGCTCTTCCTCTCGCGCGGGCGCTGGCGGAGGCTGCCCTTTAGTTGCTACAACACTGGCTCTTGTTCTGCTGGCTCTGCTCGTGCAGGTCCACGCCTCTGCTCCTGCCCGCCGCTCCGCTCGTGCTCTGGGGCTCACTCTTTGGCAGCTTCTTGGCTGGAGGGGGAAGACAGGCAAGATGGTGGCAGAAGCGGGACAGGGGCTCGCTCTGCGGCACAGCCCCACTGCTGCTGTAGCCCGAGGGACCTGGCAGGACCCTGCCTCGAGCGCAGCAGAGACTCTGAAGCCACCCCGGCTGCATCGACAAGGCCCACACGCTTCCCCAGGGGCAAAGAGCAGTTTCCCCTTGAGCTGCCCTTGCACTGAGCATCAGCCTCGGTGCTCAGCCCCGGTAGCAGCACTGCAGCCCATGGCGCAGCCGCTGCCGGGCCACGAGGAGCTGCGCTCACCAGAGGGCAGGACAGGCACCAGCTCTGCTCAGCCTCCCAAAAAGCTCGGGGAGGACGGGGGGAGCTACGCCGCAAGCAGACCCCCTTAGAGCCCAGCCTCGCCCCCCCAGCCGCTCCTGGAGCCTCACCAATGGCCAAGAAGAGGTCATTCACATTCATTGCCGTCTTGGCCGACGTCTCCATGAACAATAGGCTGTTGTCATCTGCATAGGCCTGCGCTTCCTGGAAGAAACACGAGCGGCCGGGTGAGGGTCTGGCGGCTGAAGCCCTGGCACATCTCCCGTGGCGGGGGACAGGCAAGGGAGCTCGCACCAGCCCAGCAGACCTTTGGGCCAACACTTACTTCATATTCCACCATGCGTTTGCTGGCCAGGTCAGCCTTGTTGCCTGCGAGGGCGATCACGATGCTGGGGCTGGCTTGTCTCTGCAGCTCCTTCACCCATGTCTTTGCCCGTGCAAATGTTTCCTAGGAGCAGAGGTGGGAACTCAAGGCTTGTCCCACCGCTGTGCTGCAAGGTGGGTGTCTTAGAGGGACCCCCGCCACGGCAAGAGCCAGCCCCGACTCCCTGCGAGGAGACGGCCCCCGGTGGAGCTCCCCCTGAGCAGCTCCCGGGCAGTTTAACCAAGGTGCCTCATGCCTGGTAGCCAGGAGCCCAGATGGGGACCCTACCTGGTTGGTGATATCATAGACCACGATGGCAGCTTGTGCCCCCCGGTAGTACATCGGGGCCAGACTGTGGTATCTCTCCTGGCCGGCTGTATCCCAGATCTCAAACTTTACCGTTGTGTCATCCAGGCAGACGGACTGTGTAAGAAACGCCGCTGTCGGGAGGAACAGGCAGCGTTAGCATCACATTAGCCACCCCCGCTGTGGGCAGGAACCCTCCCCGCACTCCCAGAAGGGATGTGGACCTGGGCGCACCCCGACCCCGCAGCCGGCTCCAGGACCGGCTGGGTGGAGGAGGAGCCCGTTAGTCGAGCCCGTTTGTCACACCGAGCCCAGGTTGCTGAGAAAAAAATCCCAGCTGCTCCGCGCAAGCGGTGTGCTTATCAGGGGATTGGCAAGGACTCCTGTGCCGAGGGACTGCCGTGTCCACTGAGGTGTCACCACCCACTGCCACGAGACCACAGGATGAGGTGCGGGGACTGTGGCTAGAGCCCAACTCGCACACGGAGCACCAGCTGCCGAGTGCTCGCACACCTAGTCACCGTACTGTGGCCGCAGCGTAAGGGCTCGGAGCCCGACAGGGGCTTGTATTTAATGGGAAATAAAACCAGTGCAAGGCAAAGCTGTGGCAACGGGGCTGAGGGCTCCTGACAGCATTACTTGAGGGTGTGGGACTACCCATGACGGGCACCTCTTGCCGACTCACCGCCGATGGTGCTCTCCTGGTACTCGTGGAACTGGCCCTTGACGAAGCGCAGCACCAGGCTGGATTTCCCCACCGCCGACTCACCCAGCAGCACCAGCTTGAACTGACAGATTTTACTGGCTTGGGACTGCCCGTTTGGCCTGGCGGCTCCTCGGCTGGTCATGGCCTGGGTGCTGCTGGCGCCGAGCGCCCTGTTAACCAGAGAGCCGGGAAGGCACCGAGGCGTCCGTGCGGAGCTGGGTGCAGGGTGCTGGCCTTTGATCCACTCGGCTGTCCTGGAAGGAGGAGAGAGTTGTCAGCATGCTGAACGCACACGGTGCAATACCCCCGTGTCCCCCTGGGACCGTACCACGGAGACAGGCTTTGCTGAGCTTTAGCAGGCAAAACTCTTCTCACCTCAAGCTAGAACACGGTCCTCGTTACAGGGTCTTTCCCCAGGGTCTCTCCCCCTACGCGGGGTCTTTCCCCAGGCACCCTGCAGCCGCATGTGGCGCAGACCCGCAGGCCACGGCTCCACTCCCTGAGCCTCTGTTCCAGAAGGATTTCACGGAGCAGTAAATCAGTCGGTAGGAGCTAATCCGTGAGCCAGGCGGACGGGATCCTCGCGGCCGAGGAGGCTGAGAGTGAGTCAGCAGTCCTCCCAGCCCTCCCGCTCCCGGCTGTTGCGAGCAGCCCCCGGGCCAGGACACGCCACGCAGCCCAAGCTGGGGCAGAGGGGAAGGGGCAGCAGGAGAACGGCTGGCCAGCAGCGAGCAGCTCCAGGCCTGGACCGCTCTTGTTTATGCGGCAGCTGGGGGAGATGCCACAACAGCTCCAGCTGCCTCCCCGCCAGCCGGCTGGGAGGAGGGGTTGGAAACAAACTCCCCAGCTCTGCCATAAAGTTCCTGAGCCCTAGTTTGTTTCTTTTAATCCCTGTTTTCGCTTTGTTTTCCACGCTGGACTTGAGCAGCAGGGGTCTGACAGAGCCACTTGGGCTGGAGGTGTGGACTGTATCCCCCTCCAGGATAAAGCACGGCCGCAGGCAGCTGGCCACATGCCCCACCAGCACCAGCACGACGTCAGCTGGGTGGCTCTGCCGGGCTGGAGTTGCCCGCTGCCCAGCAGGCAGCTGGCGCTCGCGATCCCTGCCCGCAGAGCAGGCTGCCCGCTCAAATCCAGGTGTCAGCGAGATCAAGCACAGCATCTGGAACAACACGGCTCCTCAAAGCCCGAGGGGGTGGGCACTGAACCTGCGGGTCACTGGGCAGCCGGAGTTTTGGCTTCTGTGGTTCACACGCCCAGAGAAAGTGGGAGAATGCAGCATTTGTATTTTTCTTTCGGAGCTAATGTCACTCTGCCTTGTAACACTCCAGTCCCAAGGCTGCGGGGCTGCAGAGATTTGTCTGCGCCAGCAGGGGCAGGCGGGCAACTGGACAAGGATTGCAGAGACCAGAACCAACAAGCGGAAAGTTGTTTGTTGCCAGTTCCCCTTTCCCATCTGCCTGAAGACGTAAGCAGGACTAAAGCCAGACAAGCTCAGCAGGAAACACTCACTAACCACAGCACTTGTGCGGCACGGACCTTGGCCCAGCCATTCCCGGACCCCTCCAGAAGGGGGATCGCTCTCACCTCCCCGAGGCGCAGCAAAGCCCTGGAAACACAAACTCATCAGTGCGATACTCGCCCGGGCACAGGGAATGCCGCCTCCCTCCTCCAGCACTGTTCGGGAGAGGGAACAGCTCAGCAACGGCCTCGGCAGCATCCTAAGCACGGCTCGGCACGACCTGCCGGGAAGCAGCCGGTGCAGCCCAGCCTGCCAGACTCCTGCCAATTCTCTTTGGTTTGATCCAGAAAGGCATCAGGAGAACTCACACAGGATGAGGCCAGGCATGAATGAAGTTCAGGATTGCTCCAGCCAAGCATTACTCTCACGAGCTTAGAGGCAGGGCTCAAGATTTTACAAGTATTTACAACTATTCTGAGCAGAAATCGCCGTGCCAGCAGCAACGCAGCCCATGACGAGGCCAGGGCAGGGAGCAGGACGTGCTCCAGCAGCAGCACCAGGACACAACGATTGTTTCAGCTCCAGCCATGCTTGAACCCCAAAGCATGATGGGGAGCCCAGCTGCACCTCACCAGGACCAGCCACCGCAGCTGCCCCAGCACCTCACGGCTGCCCAGACCCGGTGTAAGCCCAGCATGGCCACAACCCGCAGCTCAGCCCTCGGCCTTCCTCTGCCAGTGAGACCAGCTCCTTCCCTCGCCAATATTGTGCTCCGAAGTAACCACTGCTGGAATCTGCTTTGGGAAGAGATCTGCCTCGCTCTCTCCAACTCTGTTCTCACTTTCCTTCTCCAGCTGAACCTGGCGCTGCCAGGGCTGATCCCTTCTGCAGGCCAGGAGCAACAGCCTCGCTCCCAAGCCGGCCCCAAGCATGCCCTGGCTCCCTCCTTCCTCGGGGTGACTTCCCTGCCAAAAGTGCTCTTCTCACCCAGCTGTGCTGCACCCCACTGCTATTTCGGCAGCAGCCCGGGCTCCTGGCAGGTGCAGAGGTTGAGGGCACTCACACAGACCCCAGTCCCATGACACGAGGCAGGAGCTCAGTCCGCAGAGAACTCAGCACCACCACACTGTTAGATCTCCACCACCCGCTCGTTGGGGATTTACACCACCGTTGTCCTGCTCTGCAGCTTCAGCTGGAGCCGCGTGGCAAGCGCCCGGAATAGACTCTGTGCTTATTTATACGGGATGAACTGCCAGGCACCCACAACTGCGGATGAAGGGTTCCAGCTTGGAGGGGGACAGTCCCGGCACAGGTGAGCGGTGAGGCCCCAACACAGACAGGGACTAGCAACAGCTTCACCACGCACCCGGCCTCACACCACACCTCTCCTATGGCAGCTGTTCGGCACAAAGCCCAAGTCACCTATTCCAGGACCTCAGGAGCCATGTGGATCCTGGCCATCTGCGGACCCCTGGCATCGTGTGGGTCTCCTCATCCTCCTCCTTGGGACAGCAAGGTGGGAGCTCCAGGGAGAGCTCTGCATGGACCGAGCTCCTGGATGAAGCCATCGCTGTCCCATGAAGCCACCGGCTGCTGGGAGCACTCCAGGGTTTGCTGGAGAAATGGCCCCGAGGCTTCAGCTGTCCTCACCCAAGCCGCTGATGTCCAGGGCTGGACGGCTCCGTCTTCACCCCCCTTCGCTCAGCAGGACCCCGAGTCACTGCTCAGGCATGGCTGGCCCTGGAAGGAGCCACTTCTCCTGCCCAGGAGCTCCTTCAGGATACACACGCTGAAAGCACAGTGGCATGAAATCCCGCCCACACCAGGGCTCCAATGAGGGATTAAGGAAAATACAACGACCTGAATTCAGCTTTGCTCAGACGAACCTGGGCTTCAGAAGATCCACAGACCCTCAGGACAACCAGATATTCCCACTAAAACATCACCGCACCAGGTGAAAGTTGACTATATGTCAATCTATAGAAGTCTGCAGCTATTTTTGGCACGCTTTCGTGTCACAAGCAATTACTGTTAGCTGCTGGTTGAGTGAGATTTATGGTGCGACACAGCAAGCACCAACAACCACGAGCGGAGCTAGAAAACTTGCCAGGATGAATCCACTCCTCCCCTGCCGTGGCAGCAGAGGCTTTCCCTGGCTGAGGGCTGTGCCCGCGCCGGCAAATGGGTCGACCGGTGCCTGACGAGGTTCAGGGAGTCTGAGGCCGCCTCGCTCCGTCTCCTCCCAAACGCCGCCCAGTACAGCCCTTCCCAAACAGGATCCCAAAAGCTCCCACAGCCTTCTCATGCCGCTGGGACGCAGCGTTCGGAGGCAGCGTCTCGCACGCCTGCCCAACCACTGGCTGCCCGCATCGCCAGGCCTGCTGACCCCCTCGGCCGAGTACGCCGAGGGCCGTACCGGCTGAACCGCGCTCGGGAGAAGGGGGCATCCTTCACAGGGGAGGGTTGCAACAGCCCGTCTGGGCTAACTGCTTTCCTGTTGCCAGCGGTACTTTTCCTATGTCCCAATCGCGCTCAAGCAACCACCCAGAGGTGCACGGGGGCTTGGGCTGCCACGGATTTGCCCAGCCAGTGCCGGAGGGCTCCCGGTTATGGTGGGAGCCCGGCCTTTGCCGTGCAGGCAGACAGCTCGGGCTGAGGAAACTCTGGCTCGCAGAGCAAAGCTGAGCCGGTACAGGCCAATGAGCATTGAGCATTGTACAAAGTCATCCTGTGGCTCTCATCGTTAGGTATCCCTCCTTAATGAAATATTAAGATCTTGTGACTCAGCCAGCTCCGACGGCTCGGTGACACGAAGGTGTCGGCAAGCTCCCACAGAGGATGGTGGAGACCCAGCTCTCCCCCAACCCACGTGGCACATAAAGCCTGCCGGTCACAGCTGCCATACACAAACTATCGCACGGCAAAGCTGGTTCACAGCCCTGGTCAAGGAACAGGCTCCGGCCCTGCTCGGCTGCATGCCATCCCCCCACGCTTCAGCCAAGATAGCACCGACACGGGCTCAAGGCCACCTGGGCAAAGCTTCCCATCCTCCCAGGAGGGATCCAGGCCCTGCTCCGGCACCGACGCTGCAGGTGCCCGGCACAAACAGCGAGTCCTGCACGGACTAGAGGGATCCGGCCTGGCCTGACGCCCACAGCTGGGGGCGGGGGGGGACAGGAATGGCACCGCTGCCGGTGATGCCCTTTGGAAGAGGAGCCCGGCGGGCGGCTTCTCAGAGAGAAGAACAGCATTTATCGATCCGCTCTTCCACGACAGCGCCAGGTCCCTCCATCTTCCACCGATTTGGGTAGCTCCCGCCCTGTGCTGGTGGGCTCGGCGCCTGCTCAGGCAGTCCCGACTGAGACCCTGCATGCTGGGGACAGGGTCGCTCGCCCCATTTTTAGCCCCCGGGGTGGCCAAAACCACAGCCCAGGAGCCAAACCCACGTACGGGTCAGCGCCTCCGGCGGATTTCCTCGGAACCAGGCGAGGCTCAGGAAGCCCAAGCTCCGGGCGAAGATGCCGGGGAAGCCCCTGCTGCTGGAGGAGCCGTGCCTCCGACACGGAAACCGGTGGGAAAGTCGAAAAAAGCGTCAGACATGGGTCCCGTTAGGGCGGCCTGGGAGACGGGCAGCCCCAACGGCGAAAGCCGGGGCCTCTCCGGAGCCTCGCACCCTCTGCCCGCACGGGACGGCTCGGCCTGGCGATACACCAGCCTGGCTGACACGGAGGGTGGAACGGGACCCGGGACCCCCCCCCCGCAGCCCCCTCCCGAAGGGAGCCCGGTCGTGCGGGGCCCCGAGCCGCAGGAAGGGAAGGGCGGACCCCCACAGCGGGGGCCGGGGGAGTCTGGGCGGGCAGCTCGGGGCCCTGGGCCTCCCCCAGAACGGGCGGCGGCCGACCCCCCCCCCACCTCAGCCCGGGGGTACCCGACCCCCTC